AAGAGGAAGCCACGGGAGGAACCGGCTTCCTCCGAGGCCACGTCTGGGGGCTGTACACTCCTGGCTGGGATGAACCTATTCATCTTGAAGAGTAATCCCCGCAGCAGAGTGGGGGAGACAGTCGTATTAATTTGTGCCTCTGCGATCTCATCTTCATTGGGGAACAGAGTATCTGTTACTGGAACGGCTAATGGAGCAGTTTGCCAGCAATTTTCCCATTTCAAACAACATCTCGGCTGCTAATGGGGAAGGGTTTGTCAGGCCGACCCATAACACCGACAAATCACTCCCCAGGCCAGAGGGAGGGGGAGGCAGGGGTGAAGGAGGGGTGCGGGGAGCAGAGAGGGAGCATCGGGTGAAGAGTGTGCAGACGAGACTGCACGGTCTGCTGAGAAAGCCTTTGCTGCCGCTGGAGGGGCGGGGAGTGTGCGCCGCGGGGCACGTGGGCGCAGGCTGGCTGGGCAGGGACCTGGCTGGCTCACAGTGAGCCAGAGATGCCACGAGGTCTCAGAGGCCTGGTCTCACAGCCACCCACCTTGGCCTCTCAGGCAGGCCGCCTTGGCTGAGCAGTTCCAAGGACATTGTCGTTCTCCAGATAAGCAGAGCTCAGCAGGGTTTTCTCAGCTCAGACAGCAGCTCTGTGGGTCTCTGGGGCCGCCAGGCAGGTGGCAACTGCTCTCCAGGAATCCTGAGATTCCCCTGCCACTCGGGCGAGGGATTGAGGCTGGATGGTGCCTCAGGAGGGAGCCACTGCCTCTCAGCTTTGCAAGATGACACGACCTGCTGCTCCTGGCTGTGCCCCCCCCCCGGCTCTTGGGACTCGTGCTCTGGGGAGGGTCTTTTCTCTGCTGTTACCGCTGCGGGTGCTGCTGAGGGTGCTGGCTGGGCACCCAACTCCACTGAGATGCCAAGGCCAGGAGTCACAGCTTAATGTTGCCCCAGGGGCATCAGAGTTTGTCTTGGGGAGGGGTGGGTAGCTGTGAATAGTCAGCTACTTCAATGTAAAGGCCAGGGTAACCATAATAGCAGCATAAGTGCTTAGAAGTCAGGCATTAGACTGAGTTCAACAAGGCTTGTCTAACAACAATTACCCTCTAGGAAGCAGACCCTACGCACTACTGCCATTCCACTTCAAACAGGAGGAAACTGAGGCGCAGAGATGTTAAGTCCCTTGTCCAGATTCATGGAGCCGGGAAGAGCTACGGCGGGACGCACACTCAGTTTCACCGGCTCGAGAGCCGCGTCTCTGTCACTGAGCTGTGCCGAAGGCCCTTGGAGCTGAGGCCTCTCCATTCTTTTAGTCACTGCCCGTGCCCATCCCCTGGGAAACGGCCCTTCCATCAGGGGGCAAGGCTGTGTGCACACCCGCCTCTATGCGGCAGGTACCCCGGTGGTGGTTATGCAGAGCCCAGTCCTATAGCCGGCAACAAGCGTGCAAAGATGCGTACTCCCAGCGACAACTCAGAGCAGAGGACAAAGGCGGCATTAACATCAGCAAAACCCGGCACACTCAGGGATGCGTCTGAAGCCAATAGCTGTTTTAGGTCTCACTTAACTGGCACGTGTGTCTTTCTTTGTCTGGCAAACACCCTTCAGGCTGCCAGCCGATCTGATAGAACCGGCATAAAAACAAACACAGATCAAACACCCGAGCCTCTTCCACCCAGTAAAACGCTGGGAACACCCGACGGGGATGTCAGCCATGCGCGGTCTGCATCGATTTGCCCTAGTTACTTGGTGCTGCCTTAATGATCTGTCACTTGCAAACTCACCACTGAACGCAATATATTTCTAGCCACACCTAAGTCAACACCATGCCTGGGAGCCTGCCTGGGGCTGCCAGCCACCTGGCAGAGAGGGCCCGGAGCTGGGCTGGACCCCTGGTGGTGAAGGGGTTGCGGCGGACGACGAACATCCACCCTCTACTGAGGCCTTCTTCTGTCAGACACTGTGCTCGTCACACGTGGGCACGTGGGCTCATTTCATTCTTCCCACAACCCAACAAGGCAATGGTACTATTAATATACCCATTTATGGATAAAGAAATCGTGGTACAAAGAGGCCAGTTTGCCTGATGCCAAGTTGCTGGTAAATGGCAGAGCCTGCATGGAACCTAGAGTGGTCTGGTGCCAATGCCTGCATTCTTCACCCTGGGCTATACTGCCCACTCCCAGAAGCCACCTTTGTGAGAGCTTGCTGTGGTTCTAGTCTTTCCATCTCTAGTCTTCCCTGGACTTGGGAACTCTAGCTCGATGTCCAGGTCCTGCTAAAGGAAGGAAATTCCATGTGTGTCCGTCCCCAAGGTCACCCTGGGCCGTCGGAGAAAGGCAACATTGCTCCTCTGGGCCTGGAATAGGGCTGAGGGGAGGTCACGTCAAGGTTATGTAGCTGTCCTCTCCCTTTCTCTACCTCTGCTCCTGGTGGTTCTGCAGACCAGCAGTGAGTCCTGACATCCCCACCGAGTGTGTATGCTGGGTAACAGAAGCGATGAGGATGCAGGCATCTGTGGCCTGAGCTGTTGCTAAGCTGCTCTGCAGAACACCTGGCGTCACCGGCGGGAACAGGGGGACCGACGCAGAGCCGAGTCTGCTCCTACTATATGCACATGCTCAGAGGCCTCCAGCAGGGGACATTTTTTTTCATCTTAGAAAAAATGAATGAAGAATAAATAGTGTGGGAACTTGAGCCTAATCATTCTATCATGGGCTATATGTATACATGCCCATACGTTTTTTCTTTTTAGATCTCATTTAGATCCCAAACATTGTGCTACTTTCTACATGTTGTTATTTAATCTTCATAGAAAATCTCTAGCAGATACCATGAGCTCCATTTTTCAAAGGGGGGAACTAGATGAGGTAGGAGATATTAGAGAAACGTGCCCCAAGTAAGAGGTGGAGCCGGAATTTGCACCCAGGACTGTTTATCCCAAGGCTCTGCGTTATTCTGCTGCCTGATCGGCTTCCCCTTTTCCTCCTGCCCTCCACCCCCACACCCTTCCTGTGGCAGACCCCCAGAAACCTGGGGCTCTCAGGGCATTAGAAGAATCACTGGTGTCAGTGATTTCCAGAGCCCTTCAGCCTTTTTGTTCTATTGGCTGCTTTTCTGTTTCTGTTGTTCAGTTCTTTCTCTCTTTTCAAATCCCCTGCAGACAGGGTCATGGGGGAGGGGATATTTGCTTTTGTGAAGCAGCTGTCTCCCCGCCCAGAAGGACACCGGGGTTGAGGTGAGGCTAGATGGAGAGTGGGGCGGCTTCCCCCCAGATGCTTTCACTTGTAATTGACCCCGAAGCCCACCACAGTCTTTTCCCACCAGACACACTGCCCTGTCCAAGCGAAGGCCCGAGGCACTGGCGGACACTGTGGGGTACGAAGCAGAAGTAGAAGAAGATGGGGCTCCGGGTGCAGACGGCCCCTCTGCAGCCCCGAGGACCCAGGAGTGGGCTGAAGGTGACAGAACAGGAAACATGGGGGATTGGGCTCTCCCCAGAACTGTCCCTGCCGGGGCTGGAGCTGGTCAGAGAAGCGAGCGGGAGCAGCAGGGACGGCCAGGCAGGAG